GGGGGGGGGGACATGGAAAAAATTGAAAATAAATTTTGTCTTCTTGTACATTTTTCTCCGTTTTTTATTTCAATATTATTTTTGCAACTTATACAACTTACGAACAACCTAGTCGCTAACTTATTCAAAATTGTCCAAGTGCACTTTTCCGGTAAAATTATGAATAAAACAAATCTAATCATGTATTTTCACACCTTTATCAATCTCCTCCTGTCATATTTCAGCGAAATATCTCTGAAAAGCCCCGAATTTTCTTCAAGCTCTTCTCAGCGTTCTCTTGATTTTTTGAAAAATGGGGGGAGGGGGGAGGTCAGACCAGCATTTTGCAATTCAAAGGGGGGGAGGTGTAGGGCTGCGTTACGGGTGCCCTACAAGGGGGAGGGTAAAATAATTGAAAGAAGTACGTTACGTAATACTTGAGCTATAGCTTACATTGATTCCAACTCATTCGGGGCTTTTAGCACTTCTTTAGTGAATTTTTCATTCTTTAAAGAGCCTCGCCAAAAAGTGGTGTTTTTTCGCCCCTTTTTTTATACCCGAGTTGGTCAACCGGACAGTGCTCAAATGAAAGCCTATGGTAAGGCAAACTTCCATGCAAAGTTTCAACTTGAAGTGACCCCTGGTTTAGGCTGTACAGCGTTGCCAATTTTCCAGTTTCATGTGCTAAAATCAAGGATATTGGACTATTAGTCCGGAACATAAGTAAACTAGTACACCCAAGTTGGTCAACGGGACAGGGCTCAAACGAAAGCTTATGGTAAGGCAAACTTCCAGGAAAAGTTTCAACTTGAAGTAAAACCTCGTTTAGACTGTACAGCGTTGTCAATTTTCCATTTTTATGCGCTAAACTCACGAAATACTGAATCGTCATGGTTCAACAGACTATTATACCCGAGTTGGTCAACGAGACAAGGCTCAAACGAAAGCTTATGGTAAGGCAAACTTCTGGGAAAAGTTTCAACTTGAAGTGAAACCTCGTTTAGACTGTACAGCGTTGTCAATTTTCCATTTTTATGCGCTAAACTCACGAAATACTGAATCATGATGGTTCAACAGACTAGTATACCCGAGTTGGTCAACGAGACAAGGCTCAAACGAAAGCTTATGGTAAGGCAAAGTTCCGGGAAAAGTTTCAACTTGAAGTGAAACCTCGTTTAGGCTGTACAGCGTTGCTTATTTTCCATTTTTATGTGCCAAAATGAAGAAATTCGGGACTAATAGTCCAATGCATCATAAT